CTGGATCCTGGCCGTGAATAGTACAATACTGCGCAGTTTGATCATCGCCATGAATGGACGGTCTACCCGGAATTCAAGCTTCCGGAACTTCTTCACCATGCTCCTGAAATCAACTGCCAGAATCAGTTAATGATTATTAATTCGAAAGGTTAATGCGAATCGTCGTGGAGGAGTATCGAACGCCGCTCTTATCTTTTCTCATGATTCACTTTACACTTCTACTATTTCCTTACTTATCTTCCTTGGCTGAGATAACGCAGAAAGAAAGTTAAGAGAAATGGCGACGTGGGCATAACCAGACTTGGTAGTACAACAAGAGGAGCGTGGTTCGACTTGACGGAAATGAATAATGAAATGATATATTATTTAATAAAATGTGTAAAAGCAAAAGAATGAAATATAAGGGTAACAGGAAGTACCTTTTGGATTTCTAAAAATTCAAAAAATTTCCTTTTCAGACCGTCCACAAGCATTAACATTCTGATAACCGTATTCCGACTCATTCTAGAAGGGTAGCGTATACGAGCAAGCTCATTAGTAGTAAGCAAAAAAGCGAAAGGAAAAAGCTACAGAAACTTTGAATACTAAATTTTCAAACTGCGCCGCCTTTGATAATTCTTCTCATAAGCAAAGAGAAATAGAATACAGAAAAAAAAGATACTGGATGAAGAGAAATCCTTACTGCCGCCCTATCCTGCCGTTCTACCACTATTTTATACTAGTTTAAAGCCCATGACGTCATCCGCATATTTATAGACAGTACAGGCGCGGTCGTTCAACTTTCATTGCCATTGCCAAGAATACCATAGGAAACAAATTTGTAAATCCATTACAGAGTGCAATGAAACATTAACATTAAAAGAACCACATCGAAGCCGGTATTTTTATAAGTGTAACGTATCATTGTATGGTTTAAGGGGAAGAATTTTCAAAAAAAGAATAGAATTAGAATTATTAGAATTTTCAAAAAACTGATTTTCTTTTTATTGCATTTTTCGAAAGTATACATATTTAAAAGTACCATACTAAAATTTTATACAGATCCGAGCAGTCTAAGTGTACTTTTGAGCGACGTTTACTTAGCTACCTTAGCGCGCTAATATACGCATCGCTCGGAGCGGTACTACCTACCTGCCTTTGTATACATGTGGAGCTGCTACCTTTTGTAAATATACTATATACGAAACGAAGGCAGGCTATTTTGGATGAAACTGAGCACTATGAAGAAACTGAAGGCATAATCTATGGCGCAGGCATCGCTGATTAGACGTAAGATTTTTTCACGATTTTTCGTTAATGAAAACTTTAAACGCGTTTTTCTCGAAATGACGTTTCTGGTCGGCTTTTTGATAAAATCTCCGAAACTATTCAACCGACCCTTACCAAAATTTTACCACATGTTCTTTATGACTATAGCTATAGCGCATATCATACGAATTTTGAAATTTTTAGTGTAACTATTCTTTTTTTGCAAAAAACGATGAAAAAAAAACGTGCTTTTTCGTAGTTTTTGGAAAAATGTCCGCGATTTTGTCATTTTTAAAAAAATCAAAAATCGTATGATATGCGCTATAGCCATTTACCTACTGAATCTAAAACCATTTTTTTTTCAGATCATCCATTCCAGAGATTTTATCAACAGCGCACACCCATCTTTTTTTTGTCTTCTCCCCCATTTTTCTGTACGAAAACTGAGTAAAATGAATATAAAAAAATGTTTTTTTTGGTGTATGTTAAGAGTGTATTTTTTAGGCCTAACACTTTTTATATCCATATTTATAATTTATACCGGTCAAAAAACTTCGTGAAAATATCCTTTTTTTGCCCGTCCAATTAGGGTAGATCCCTTAAGACTTCGCAAGGACAACGAGATGTAGCATAGAAAGTGTCCTGAAGATAGCGATGTCCTGTTTATTCAAGAAAATAAAGAAACGTTAACAATTTTGACTTCTTAATATGGCAAGAGCCATTTTGACGAATAAATTTGTACCCAAAAGAAGACTCGGACGAATCGATGTTATAATTCATTATAAACCTCTTAATGTATACATGCAGCCACCTTGGACATTATTCTCAATCTTTTCGCACGACTATGGCGTCAACAGTTCAATATGAGTGATATAAAAAAAAAGTTAAAGATAGATAATGATTAAAGAGGAAAAACCTATGAAAGCAATACCCAGGATATACGTCACAGCACATGTTAAATGCTTGCATAATGATACTCAGGCACTAAGCAGTTTTATTGATTTCCTTTTCTTCATCCAGTTTATTTAATATCTCAATAAAAAATAAACCAACTCCACTCAATCAGGTGTACATCTGGAGCAAACGTGTAATATGCAGCGCTAAGCGCGATATGTCTGTCAAATCTAATGTCACGTACGCCGGATTAATACTTCCAAATAGCAACAGTCTCAACTTCGCCATAAATCACAAAATAAATTTAAAATACAGAGAGAATCTACTTGAATGTATATGCCGATGAAATATCAAATTACATAAATTATGTTTTGTCTTGCATGTTTGTGAAGTGGAATGTTGAGCGTGTACAGAAAGTTGTTCGAAAATAATTCTTCGACTGATATAATCCTTCTAAAACAGTTCTTCGAAAACAATTCTTCGATACACTTCTTCGAGAGATAAAATTCTTTGAAAAGAATAACTGGCATCACTTTAGTAGAGTCCAGCTATACACAGATCGCTTCTGTAATGCGCTTGGAAAGAGTTAGGCCATGCTTATAGAACTTATACTCCTGGAAGGGGAATAGCCTACTCTAGCAAAGAGTGAAAAGTGGCCCCAGCATGTTGAGACAGAGATATATCTCTTCGCTCGTAACGTTTAGTTCCTGTCACTGCGCACGTGCGCACTACAATCATAACAACGGCTGCCTCCAATCGAATTCCTCCAGTCTTCATGTAACTCACATTTCGCGTTAGATTGGTTTGGTTTTGTTAGGTCAGTAAAATTGCGCACTTGCGTAGGGAGGGTAACTGGACGTTACGAAGTGAGAAGGAGATATATCTCTGATTTAAAATGTTGGGGCCACCAGAGATGAGTAGGGAGATGCATGACGCTATGGTTTTAGGCTATACCAGAAACATGGCGCTAAATCGTAGCGGCGAGTCCGGGAGTAGGATTTTGTTACCATCACCTCCGTCGATAATGTATATCCCGCCGTAGCCGAGCTGAACGTGATCACGAACGTGTAGCCTGGCCGGCAGAGGTTCTCCGCAACTTATCGCTGGTTCCCACAGCAACCCTTAGAACGAGGCCACTCATCAGATATTGCCTAAATATTTTTTTTTGTAATCTTAAATTCGAGTGCTCGATAAGATGTACTAAGACAAAAGCCAGCACCTCATGCCTGCCTGCATTAAGAAGTTCAGCGATGCGGTGCTAGCTTCCAGCATTATTTAACAATAGTTCCAAGCGGAACTATGCTCCCAACATTGAATACTAGAGAGGACTATCCCGGAACTGTTTGAAACATAATCTGAAAACAACACTGAAAGCCAACTCCTTAGGCATACTTGCACTGAAGCGTATGGTGCGACTAGTATCCTCAATAGGCATGTTACCGATGTTACGTAGCAGAACTATTGTTAAAACCTATCAGGAACTATAGAACTCCTGGAGAACTATTGAAAAAGCCTATTGTTGAATCATTTTTAAGAGATTTAAAAAAAAGTGCGGTGCTGGAGCTGATATCCGTGTAGCACCTCAATTTTTGAACAATGTTTCATCAATAAGCTTTTTCATTATTTCTAGAGGAGTTCTATAGATCCTGATAGGTTTTAACAATAGTTCTGCTACGTAACACCGTTAAGATACGTATTTTACAAAAAATTGAGGTTGCAGTTGTGGTCGATTTTTATCAACTAAAACACCATCACGGTCACTGGAACGTTAATTAATCTCATAGCAGTCTCAAGAGCTCATCCCTACCCTTATCTGTCTTCTCATCATCAGTTATTATGGTTACCGTAAATTCGCTTTATTACCTAACATTTATATAAAATACTTAGCGCATTACACTGCATATAATTATTCTGGATGTACTTATACGCTGGTACATGGACGAAGCTTTGTCACGTGATTTTTCGATTGTGAGTGTTCCGGAAGAGCAGTGCTGTGTCCTAGTGCAGTGTCTAACTGAGTGTCTCCTGAATGCAATTCTCGACATTTACGGATCAGCTGCACCAGCTCCAGTGAGTACATATCCACTGCGTTCCATCGCTTGTGCCTTCACAGTTCTTTTAAAAATTCAAGATAAGTATGTAGCAAGTACAGCGACTAAACGCCATTTTTTCGATTTTTAAAAAAAAAGTATCGTTTGTACCACTTTCCTATTAGTCTCATTCGAAATTTTTAATAGGACCAGTATTTTTAACAAGAGAAGAAAAAAATTAACTAAGGCTTTTTTCTAGCTCAAAAGAGTTCGAAAATGCAGTGATGTTGAAGGACACCATTTTTAACACTTGTTATAATATTATTTGGCAATATTAACAATAATAGGTTATTTACGCAAGAAAAGAATATAAATTAACTTTTTTCTTCTCTTCCGATTTTCGTATCAACAAAATCGCTATACTCATTAACAATCCCAGGGTCTACGCTTGATATTGAAATAACATGGAAAATACTGGTCTTATTAAAAAATGTCTCAGACAAAAGTTAATTGGTTTTTTATATAGCGTAACAGTCTGTAATAAAACATATGGGTTCCTATTTAAAAAAACAAAGTTAACTTTTGGAAAACTTTGAAAACCGCCGCAAATAAAAAATAACGGTACAGCTTTTTTTCCCCCCCTCAGAACCAAACAAAATTTGTTCGAACAATTTTTTTGTAAAATGCTTCCTTTCCGAGAGATTCGTTTGTGCCAAGTTAAACGATTCACCCTGTATATTACACGTTACTCATAGTCCGGCGTTGATACTGTTCGAATTTATTATTTTGGTCCTCTTCATGTGGCTGATAAGATTAGTCACGTGTTCCACAATGATTATACACATATACATTTGACATATCTTCATACATGTATTTTTTAATGTTGCTCAGTTTCGGAAGGGTAACGCTAATTTTCATGAATCGTAGTTTAACGACGATCTCTAATATTTCCGCAGTCATTTGTAAAAGAACAATTCACAAACAATATTTCGAAATGTTTCTATAAATGTTTGCAGTAGAACACTTGCACGAGAATCTTCCAAAATAATTTCGACATGATCTAAAACTTTTTTGTTTCCAACAATATTCGAAGAGATAAAAATAGAATATTGAATTACAAAATTAATATTTTGTAATTTGTGAAAAGTTGGGAATTGAAAATCATGTTTATAATTGATGTAAACAAAAAATATTTTCTTCCGTTTAAATTGCATTCAGAACGTAAAAGAATGGTGAAAAAGGGAATAAGTATCGTCATAAAACTAAATCGATGCTGAGTTAAATAGTTAATTAATATCACAGCGTTGGGTCCTGTATGCGACCATAGAACAGGATGGATTTATAACGACTGTCTACGATTGCATATAAGAATGGACGATCTACTTGAATCACAGGTTTGTAAACAGCATCTGCCGAGGCCGGTCTAACGAGGAAAGCTGAAAAAATAAACAGACGAAAGTTTTAAACCTCTTCAAATGAAACAGTGTCGAAGGTCTAAGATCTTGGCCGTGAATAATACAACATCGCTAATAGTATGAAGCGAAAAGAAGCCAGGCAAAAAGATACTGAGAGAAATTTTGCTTACTAAATGTTTAAACTACATCATATTCAATAGAGGCTTTTCCATAAGTAAATAGAAATGAAATACAGAAGATAAAGAGCAAAGATAATATCACTGTGAAGGCACGAATCCTAGTGACGGATCTTTGAGTATAAATACGTGAAGTCTACAAAAGAAAAATAAAGAAAACAACTACGCTGGTCAACCAAGCGGATCGTAAAAGAGGAGGTTGGAAGGGAATTATAGAAGAACCGATAAGGGGAAAAAAAAGAAAAGAAAAGAATAGAGGAAAACGGCGTGTATATACCAACATAATATCACTTACCGGAAGCTGCAACAGCTTCGCTGCCTTCTTCATTGACCTCGATGAACCCTTTCTGGAGGATCTTGCTCACCTTAAGAGGCGTATCGGCAATGCCTGAGAAATCAGCGGCATCCGTGAACATCTCAGCCATACCTACCTAAAATATCATTCATGGATCACAAACTCTCATTTTGTTATAAATCAAAGAAACCCCTATTTACGTCTATACACAAATTACCTTTTGCAATAAATTATTGAGCTCGATGGTGTTCTCAATTTTGAACTTTGGCACAAAGAGGATCACTTCCTCATTCCTACCATACTGATTTAAACGACTGAAATCTAAGTCATGAATATTGTTCTCGATGCGCTGAAGCCCATCAATCTTATTAGGCACAATTATAAACATACTGACCTCATCGCCCTGAAACGAAAAATTAAAGTTTATGAAATTTTCGATAAAAACAAGAACCTAACAAAACTAATAAGTATCTCATGCAATTATACCTTATAGGGAAGTTCAACAAATCTGGCATCAAGATTATGAAGCTGACCATGCAAGTACATGGAAGTAATTGTCATCATCGGTACTTCCTTAATTGTATTTGAATTGATATGGAAGGGTAAGTCGCTGGTGTACTTTCCATCGAAACTATCTTTCCACTTGCCCTTGAAGTAAATAGCATTTATCAGTACCAATTTAGTACGATTGTCGATATCGTCTGTAATTTATAAAATGAAAAGTTAGACAACCGACTGACAGTGCAGGTACGTATAAAGTGGGATATATACCCACTGTATGTACAGTCCTGCTGTATAAAGTATAATTTATCAAAGAAGAATAACTCTATTAAGCTAACCAGGAGTGAGTAGATCTTTTATACGATTGTTCGTATTATTAGCACACCAAGAGTTGATAGTAGCTGCAGCAGCTGTTGGATTTGAAACGTCTACTGTCTCGCATTCCGAGTGGAAAATATCCTTAGTAATAGCCGTGTAATCGGGATTGACTTCGAATTTCTTAGCGACAAAGATTTTATTAGCAATTTGCAAATCCACGGTCTTTATATCCTACAAAAAAATAGCATTTAATGATGATCAAATCATAGTTTGAGCAGACAATGCCGCGCTACCTCAAATTCCAATACATACATTCAAACTAGTGATAAGAGATTCATAACCACTTTGTCCTATTGCGTCTTCCTCAGGAAGCGTCAATGTTTGTCTTATCTGGAAACCAGTGTTTCCACGGGCACCATAGGCAGCCATAGCCAATACAATATTGACGCTCAAGGGAGAGCATATTATATTTCCAGTCTTCTCCTGCAGTAACCGCTAATAAAGAAAAAAAGTTTAATTAATTACTTAATTCATTAATTACACCAATCACTTCCAAGCTAGAAAAATCTACCTTAAGGAAGTCGATGCCAAAGGAGTTACTAGCGCTCGCTATTACCGACAGAGGACTGTTTGAGGTCACTATTTTTTCTGCATTTGTATATGTCACCAAAAATGTGCACAGCACTGTTAGACAGATGAAAAATGGGCCCACTGAAACATCACAAGAGAAGATATTAAGATGAGAAATCCTTGCATAAGGTCATCCGTAGTTTTATAAATAATACGGCCACAGTAGTTCCGTTTTCACTGCCATTACCAAAATTACCATGCAAATATTTTCAATGCTAGATGGGTTTTGAAATTAATTACTCACACGAAAGTTGCATAATGTCTATAACGTGGGTCCTTAGAGGACCACAGTAATTGGTTGAATGAAAAATACAGTAACAGTTTTTAAGACAGCAGCTTCGGAAGGCACTCGAATAATCGACGACGACGACGACGACGACGACGACGACGACGACGACGACGACGACGACGACGACGACGACGACGACGACGACGACGACGACGACGACGACGACGACGACGACGACGACGACGACGACGACGACGACGACGACGACGACGACGACGACGACGACGACGACGACGACGACGACGACGACGACGACGACGACGACGACGACGACGACGACGACGACGACGACGACGACGACGACGACGACGACGACGACGACGACGACGACGACGACGACGACGACGACGACGACGACGACGACGACGACGACGACGACGACGACGACGACGACGACGACGACGACGACGACGACGATGACGACGACGACGGAACTGAAATAAAATCATCTCGCTCGCCATTTCAATACGCCCTGATCTCGTACACTAATCGTATTGAACTTGGTGGCAATCGCTTCAGAACCTTCAATTCCTATAGTGAATGTATCAATAACTTTTCCTCATATATAGCGGTTCATAAGATATTTTGTTCCAAACACAGGTATAAGGAGTTGACTCGAGTAAAGAGTCTCGGCGCGCTGCGCCCTGTACAGCCGGTTGCCTGTACTTGGCGCGAGACTCGACCGAGTCTCTTGATACACTGTGAACTTAACTCAACCCGAATGGGACGTCTATCTCGTACTAAATGCCAAAATCGAGTAGTTCTCTGGCTATTTAAATCTCTGCTGCCACTCCTATTAACTGTATACCGTATAAAAAAGTTATACGAATATAAAAGATGTTGTGTTATTCAAGAGAATTCACGGAATCCTTGTTTGGACAGAAAATTGGATATTTGAACGTCGTTTCTTCGAATCACAATTGCTTTTAACGATTCTCTTTAATAGTCTTGAAACCACTTTTATTTTTTAATTCGTAATTGATTTGCCTCCCAAATCTCGATCCATTTACTGATTTACTGTTGTTTTCCATTGGAATTACTTTCTTTCAGAATTCTTTTGTTTACTAACTATTACTTATGTTTGTCAAAACCAACAATGCTAATTGAATGAATTTAAATAGTAATTGAAACAATGAATTTATAGTAGTAACATTATAATAAATAATATGCGTGCTTATGTCATGAAGGAATAGAATATTTTTGATAAACTTCATGTTACTGGGACTCTGGGAGACGCCAAGTACTTCGCGTCTCACTGACGCTGTGGTCCCAGTGCGTGAATTCCGGAGGACTGATTTACATGAGAAGCGAATAAACTAAGTAATTAGTGAGATCATCGAAGTTTTCAAAAAATATATTCTCAACAAGATTAGTTAATCAGATTGCCTATAGCTCTACAACCTTACCTGGTACCAGATACACATATGTTATGTACTTTTATAAAATATGCTGTGTGTATATATATATATGTATATATATATACATATGTCTAGGCATGTCATAACGTGTGATAATATTTATAATGCATTTCACTAGTTATTCTTTAATGTTCTCTTCGAACTGTACACGATACCCACCTTGATAAGAGCCCCTTACATATGGGATATGTGCTTCTTCAGAGGTATCTCATGAAAAATTAATTTCTTCGTTTTCTTTGCTCGGCTATATACCCAACTTTAGGGCATTTATCAGCATATTCTGAATTAAAAAATTATTTTAATTGCCGGATCAAGCTTTACGTAGTCGTCCTGGTTCGTGCTCCTCTGAATTTCTATTAGTGCGATCTTTCTTCTTTTCCCTGCAACATTTTCCGCCTACCACACTGTTCTTGCAAAGGTCGCACCCGCAGGTGGGCTCTCGTGGTTCCTGGCGATAAGCTTTAGGTGGACATGGTTTTGCTGACACTGGTGTCTCGCAGCAGCAAAGTGCGCATGGATCCTAATATATATACTTTAGATAATAACATATCTGTGATAGATTATTCTGTATTTATCTACCTGCATTTTAATGAAGCAACAGGTTGGATCGCTCGCAATTTCCGCGCAGATGTCTTCCTTGAGCAGTTGGTTTTCAGGTTTTGGACATGGAGATGATGACTTGCGATAACCTTCTCCGTCGGTCATATTCTCTTCTACTTTATCGACTGTTATGATCCCCGTATCCTTTTCTGTTCCATCAGAGTCGCGTGAGCCGTCATTTTCCGTGTGACTCTTAGTTTTCCTCTTCCTCGGGGGACACGGTACCCTCGAACGAACCTGCTTCGCTGAACACTCCAAGCCCAGGTTTACTGTCCTCAAAAATAAGTCACGTTAACCTCAATCTTTGGAAATTCTATCCTCTTTAATTGACTCACCACACTCGAATATCCGAGTAAGAAAACTCTTTGAACGGTCGTCCATTGATTACAGTTCCTTCTCATTGATCACAAAGAATTTTTTGTAGAACATCGTACATCCTAAAAAATAGACAAAAATTTCAAGTGCCAATAAAACCAAAACTCCTGTCAAAAAAGTGTGCAATTGTCAAATGTACGTCAATAGTAAATTGCTCTATAATAAAACATCTAACGGGTGGCATATATATATGCATCAGGCTTAACACTATCTTTTATAGTCTATTAGTTGATTTGTCAACTAAAATGGCCGCTATAGAAACGTAAATCAATTTTGCTTAATTTTTCATGAAATTGTAAGGAACAGTAAAAAATTTGGAAGACAATAATAATTGAGGTTGGAAGACTTCTAAACGATGTTACACTCCGATTATGACCGATCCAATGATTGATTATCGGTACCACTGTGTTTGCGGTATTAACACGGTTATCCGATTGGCTCTATAGGTGGTCTATTTGACGAACCACATTAGGAACGATCGCGTGCGAAATTGTACCGTTCCTACAAAAAATTTAGGTTTTCGAAGCAATTTCGTGAGACGCCACTACGGATCCGTGACGGCGGTGGGAACCGATGCTTCTATCCTCCATAAAAATTCTGTGACGCCGGCTTGATTGGAAATTGAAGTTAGATCCGCAGGCTGTAGGTCATAGGACAACGAGGTGGTTTCCGTGGCATGCTCGACTGTTCACATAAGCACACCGCACTGTTAATTGGAAATGAAAAACTTAGATTAATTATTTATAATATGAAATTGATAGACGTTATGATATATCATATAGACAAATGGATCGTTTATTTTGAAATTGGTGTAAGTCCATTTTCTCTTGTTTCGAGAAAATTAAATGTTAACATGTCTGTTTATTACAAAATTTACGAAAATTATATGAAGTCTGGCAATGTTTCTACTGTTTTATCAATATGTAATTTGGTTATATAAATTTGTTTTAAGCGTATTTTACTAAAATGATGTATACTGACGGGCTGCTAATAGACTTACACCATTTTCAAAATTAGACAATTGTAAAATTCGTTTAATTTCAATTTTGAAAAATCAAATATCACTTAAAATATACTTCATATTAATCCAGTTTTGTTTACACAATATGTAATTTGGTTATATAAATTTGTTTTAGGCGTATTTTATTAAGCTGATGTGTACATACTTACGGGCTGCAAATGGACTTACACCACTTTCAAAATTAGACAATTGTAAAATTCGTTTAATTTCAATTTTGAAAAATCAAATATCACTTAAAATATACTTCATATTAATCCAATTTTGTTTACCAATAATGACACGACATAAAATAGAAGTAGTATTTTTAATTTTAGACGCTAATTACATTGTTAAAATTACAAGATATTGATAGTATTTACTTATGCTCTGCATGTGGCAGTGTTTCGAAATATGCATGATGCACCGGAGGTATGTAAGGTAATAACTGCTTGATGTCCTTATATTTTTCATAAGTAATAGGCCTGGCATCTTGGTACAAAGGCGCCAGGGCGATTTTTTCAAATTTTAGCGGTCTTCTAGGACGTGTCGGTAATAAATTTATAGTTTTAAAATCTTTGTCCTTCATCGATGTTTTATGTAAAATAGTGTATGGTGCACTTTTGAGGAACCTCATCCAACATATTTGCAACCAATTTACCTGTTCTCCATTAGTGTTTTTTCTTATCTGTTTTTTTAGCGCATTTTGAAGATTTTTTATTGAAACGAAATTCTCTCGTTTCATTTCATGTAAAATGAATTTATCATGTTTTCTACATTGTGTTATTACATCATAATAATCCTGTGATGTGTACAGAAAATTCAACCATCAACCATCTGCTAAGCCATCTACCTCTGTCAATTGGACTTACACCACTTTCATGATCGATGATTATGCAATTTCATTTACCGAACAATTTTAAATTGTACAAAACATGGAAATTTTTTAAGAAATTTAAACACGGACTAGTTATACATAAAAAATTTACATTAAATTAAGCAGGAATTGCGTGATATCTCATTTTTTCAAAAATGGACTTACACCACTTTCAAAATAAACAGTCCAAATAATGCCGATACGATAATTACATTGTATAGGAGAAAACTGGTAATTCATCTATGGCGCCACATGCAGGTTGAATTAACAATGTAATGAAACAAGTATCATCGCAAGAATTATATTAACATTTTAATCCAATATGACTTATCGAATACTTCAAGATTTGAAGCGTTCTGATTGCTAATTAGGAGTAATTAAAAAAAATATAAAACTTTAAGTGGTCTTCGTTGCCCCGTTTCTGCATAAGAGTATCAAGTGAATCAATGATATGATTAAGCGTTAAAAAAAAGTGTTCAAAAGTGCATTAAATTAGTCTGAGAATGATCACTTTCAATCAAATAATTAAGATTAACTTTACTTCTTGTAATGGTTCATCAAATTACTTAGGAGGCTGTAATTATAGGTTTCACTACTCTATTTTTTGGTCTTTCCATGATGGGAAAGACCAAAAAATAGAGTAGTGGAACCTAAAGATTACCGTTATACTATCGCCGAAGGGTCCCTCCATTTTATTCTCCTTCCAAAGTTCTTACCTCCTTCTTATTATTTTACGAACTACCCTGCATCTCCACCACTCCTGCCGAGCTTGATCTTGTTAAAAGAACCGATCGTTCCCAATAAACTCAATACTATTCCTAGTGTTCTCGCCGGGAAAACTTCCTTATAATAAATCACTTTTAAACCCACGCGCATGCGCACTCGTATTCTCTCTACGAGTAAATCAAGTTTATGTGAAAATTAAATAGTTTGCGATACTCAACTCCAGAAATTATGCGTACTGTGTGTGTTTACATCTGGCAAGATTAATTACGCATCAGGAAAAAGGGTCCTGAAAGCAACTACGAAGATTTTCGTCATCCAATTCCATACTTCAATATCTAAAATTTGGTGAGTCGCTGATTTGAACTAAGTAGTATCTTCCATCGTGTTAAATTTGAATCCAGCAATCACAATGGGTGCGTTCCGAAATGTACTGACAACACTGCCAGTACTGTAACCAACGCTGTGTCCTTATTCATGCATACGCATCTAAGAGAGATGTAATTACTTTTATAGTACTGTCAGTACATTTCGGAACGCACCCAATATTGAATGTAACCTACATGTTAGTTGCAACTGTCCCTCATGTGGATAACCTTAATATAACAGCACTGTTACATTAAAGTCATTAACATGAGTGGGACATTACAACTGATATGTACGTCACATGTAATATTGTATTTACTTGGGAATTCCTATGAAAATAATTTTCATATATAAGTAACTAATAAAGTAGACATTTGTTTGAATACCTAACCATCCGTATTATTAGCACGACGCTTAATGTACAAGAAATGTTGCACATCATCTGTTTTTCGATCCCATCTTTGTTTTTCTTGTCGTAGAAGCGTCGCTCAAGCACGGCGGCGTTCTCATGACTAATTGAGACGCGCGATCACTCATCTTAAACGAGGATCATCGCCACACCGATGAACGTCCACCGCGTTCTCGGTCGATTAGTTAGTGGTTAGAAGATAAATGGATAGCCAAAACGAATTTTTTACCTAAACAAATTTTTTTAGAACCATTGGCAAACATAATTGAATTTTTAGAAAAAATTTAACCTTTCGTAGACATTTGTATCACACAATTTTCTATACTTGTAGAATGTTCAATGGCTACGAAGATGAAGTGCGGGATGATCTCAATGATATCAATAATCATTGTATTACCAATCATTGGAGCTGAAGAACAGTCTGATTCATCGGCTCTATTAGACGCAGCGATTCTCCAAGGAACCGAATTGGGAGTGGAAAAGAAATTAATAAATGTGGAAAACAATGATGAAACGTCAGAAAGTCCAAGAACTGGAAAAGGACTTTCGATAATGCCGATACCTACGTATCTAACAGAACGAAAAGGAGCTAAAGATACTGTACAGGATGACACAATTTTTAAAAAATCGCAAGGTGTCGATCGTAGTGGATCCTTAGGGAGTGTTCGCACTACGCGACAATTCGATACTGCAACCCCATTTGGATATGACAATTTTGGAGCGGCACCTAGTGGCCAGGAAAGTTATGGAGGTTTGTATATGAGATTCTGGTTTCTAATAATTTCTACATACTGAATACACAGCTTAACTAAGTAATTCTAATCTTACAGGTCATTCACAACGCGGACAATACGGAACAGAAAATTATAGCAGCACTTCGTCAGAAAACTATAACAATGATTATCGGAATTATGACGACACGGGCTACTTCTACTCAAGTAACAACGGAGTCGGTAATGGCGGTGGACCCTTTTGGTCACCGGTTCCTAACAGACCTCCTTTCCGACCTCCTCTAACGCCACTACCATCTCCACCATTAGGAAGTTATTATCCGCAATCTTACCCAGGGAACACTGTCGTCCTCAAACCAGTCACCACTTATTCCCACGGTCCTTCCTCCTCCTTGTTCACGCTGTTCTCCAATCTAGGCTCAAATTTATGGCAAATATTTCAAATAGGTCTTGGTAGCAGTCTTATTTTTGTTATACCTGCTATCCTGTTTAAGCTCTTTATCATCCCATTGAAGATCCTTAAATTCATCAAGATTGTCAAGATACTCCTGAAACTCTTTTTCGTTGTTCCGTTCCTGATCCGTGTCTTCCTGCCCAATATATCTTCTAACATAGGAACAGCTCACGCAATTGTGGAAAAGAGTCGAGAAGCCACGTTGGATAATTCCACAAATTACTGGAACTGGCAATCCTACGTTATGGATTATTTGACTCCTCAGGATACGAACAGCACTTCCTGGACGGACGACATCCCCGAACTACGCGACTGTCCCAGTAAAATGGCTTGCGACCTCGGCTCCTATCTTGCTAGCACTCCTACTATGTTTAGTCTACCACAGAAGCTCAACAACTATCTCCTCGTGCAAGCTGAACGCCTTGATAAACACGAATCACAATCCCCGGGTAGAACACAGAAAGAAAATGTTGTACGAGCGTTTGTTCAAGCACTGGGGAAACGAGAGACTTATTCTGAATGTGCTACACTTTATTCGTGTAGCATATTACTTTGATATTTAATCAACTGACAATCGTGTGCCCTCATAATTCATACATTTTGTTCTATTAGTACGCCATTTTTAATAACTTATTGTATTTATTTATAAATATATTTATTATATTATTATTCATTCTCAAACACATTCCAACAATTTAAAATAAGTCAAAATTAAATTCAAAGTTTGTATCAAGAATGGCCGCTGTCAGCATTGCAAAACATAACCTCTTTTCCGTCAAGACAGCGTCCACAAGTCGTTCATTAGTTATACATATTAATCAGTGATTTTATAAATAAAGTTTACGTATATACACTAGTTATTTCAAACTAGAAGATATGAGCGAGTACACAATGAAATTAGATGACACAACAGAGAAGCATCTTACCCTCCTGCTGTTTGCTGACGTTGAAAATGCCAGGGATGTAAAAACAAAGTTGATAAATGGAGAATTACGTTGCTGTGTTTTAAAAGCAAGCTTGATAGTCGATCCTTTTCAGGTCGTAGTGGCTGCAAATAAGGCTGCACTCAAAGAAATGCACTCGCGACTCACTACAAAAACTGTATTCACAGAAATCCTGTTTGATCTTTCTCTATCGAAAAACATAACACAATCATTGATCAAGTTTGGTATAGACGACGCCGAAAGGAATATCCTCGTTGCAGTGATTCACAGTCTAGACGATAAGAAATCCATTGTCCAGAAGGTTGTTAGTAGTATCAAGGGACAACAAGTTTCCATTGACAAATTAAAAGATTATACAGATCTCAAGCTTGTACGTAAAACCTACAAAATCGAAGATACAGAGCTGACAGTGTCTAATTTAGTGGATTCGCTAGTGAGCAGGATTTCTACCAAGGATTTTGCATCATACTGAACTATCATTATTCAAATTTTACATTATTGTCTGGTTAACTGGAATGTACACAAGACTGTTAAAAATTAAAGATCGTAGAACTAGCAGACATTAATATTGAAGTGCGAAATCATTAAAAACATGTGAAATCTTTTATAACTATGTGTACTAGATAATAGTGTTACTTGAATATTTATGTTACTGTTAGATACATACATTCAATGAATAAATAATGTATATTCTGTAATATTTGTTTGTTCAACATTAATTCTTTAGTCTCGCATAAGAGTTATTAATTACGCAAAGGCAATATTAAGTTAATGATTATGGTAGGGAATCTTTCATATTAATCAATTAAATGCCAATTGGTTGACTATGTTTATTCATAATTTTTCATTTTGTCGAGTTTTCTCACAAGATGATAGCATTGCTTGTGAAGACGGATATTATGTGGATGGCGGATACACCTCCTAATTACATTTGGCATTATATCTTTTTTCCTTCCTCAAATGCAAATAATTTTAATTCGGCAGTGACACGACGCATGAGAACAATCTGGTTTCAAAAAGAACGCTATATGCATACATAACATTTGAAAATCACTCGCTACGAATAGCGCCATTGTTGCGAGATACCATCAACTTCAGTGATAGGCATCTAAACCTTGTGGCTGATATTATTGCCTGTTTTGAAGAATCGTTTAAAGTATATTGTTAAGTAAAAAAGTTGAACAATTGACCAGACACTTTCATTTATTCATAAATAAGGTCAAAAGTAGAAAATAATTGTCATTCCGCGGTGTCACAGCATACATCAAATCCTGCAAGCAAAAAAATTATAAATTATTTTAAAAAATACAAGAGTACAAGACAAATAGTTTTCATACAAAGCGCAGTCGTATATTCACGCGTTCGTGTATACAAAAATAAATTTCCGTATGAAAAAAATAAATGTAGAAATAGAATCAAATATGAAGTGCACGCTTTGAAGAATATTAATTCGCTTATATTCATATTCTTGTTATAGCCATGTATATCCAAAATATATATATATATATTTAAAAAAAAAGAATCAACAGCGTCTATATATCAAACCTTAAATACTTGGTGACGACTTGTGATTGGATTACAAGATCACAGTATAGGTCAAAGATACCTCGGCAAATTGCACATTTCGCAAGAGGCCAGATCTGCGGGATTGAGAAACGTGCAGTGTGGACAGGTCCAGAGCGGCTGTTCAGTAGCCGTATTAACTACTGATTGGCCGGCACCGACGTTTCCGCTTCCGCCTGCGGCCGATGAAGAAACGGATCCACTGGAGGAACCGCCATTACTAGAAGGAAGACCAGAGCCAAGGGCAAACGCGACGCCTGGGGTACGCGACGAACGTGGCGATGCCGCCGTCGTTGCGAATATTAGCTGCTCAACAGTAGCCCAATGTTCAGAACGTGCCCACTCTAGAGCCTTTTCTTTGTTGCGTGTACGAATAGCTTCTAATAATGGCGCCATGTGGTCCTAAAAGATAAAATCACGATGAAACATTAAAAAGTGCCAGAGACTAACGATCGTAGCATGAGAATCTTTGATTCATTAAAAAAATACAAACCTTCATGGGGAGCATATCCATAGTAGCGATAAAAAGCAACAGATGAAAATCTGACATTGCTTCAAGAAATTGATCAGGACTAAACTGCTGCATATAGGTGCAAAGAGAATTAAAAACTTGAACCTGTCCATCTACTAGCCTGAAATACATAAAAATAATCGATATATCAATAACTCTTGAAGCATAAATCAAAGAGACCAATTAACACGTTACCTATTCTCAACAGGAAAGGGAGTAATTTCATCGCTAGCATAAAAAGTGAATTGTGGTGTGAGTGGAGTGGAAGCAGGTACGTCCACAAGTAGATATTCCACAGGTAATGGCCGTGCCAATCTCGAAACTTCATTACCATAGTTATCCTTTTCCTGAAAATAGACAAAACAAATACTTTAAATAAACCACAAATCCCATCGATCCATTCAATCCTAATTCGTAAAATGCGCCCGCTCTCTTCTTTTTCAAGATTTCCACGAGATGGCTACCAGTTTCTCAAAACATCCCGTGGCGCCTCTACATTCATTTGACGTTACTCCCACTGCGCATGCGCTTTACAATCCCGATTGGCGCGCCAGTCGAACGACGTATTCAGAGTGAGAGAGCCTGATGCGCGGTTCAAGAAGAAGATAAAGATAAATCGAAGTAAGGATAAGAGAAGCAAGCAAGGGGGAGGAGAGCAACAGCGTAACGAGTAGCGCGCGCCGTCGGTGTGGTTGGTCGTTGCTCGGTCGGACGTTCGGTCCTCGCCGCCATGCTAGTGGTTAGTTTAGTGAACCAAACATCATGATGTGGCAAAACGTTTGCACGAGCTGAGGCTAAAGTAACGCCGCGATACCGGCGTACCGTCGTTATGTTATCCGTAACCACGTTCAATAAACGTAAACACAACGGTGTATAGTACAAAGTAATAAGAAACAACCAAGAAAAAAAAGAGATTCCCGCGTACAATCGTAAAGCAGCGCGACGTTAAATAACTTTTCCCTCCGTAATGTAAATTAAACCGAGGACAGTCAGTTCGTAAGGGCATAGCGTATATATAGGATATCATTCTTATCGTACCCGGTATTAACGCATAGGAAGAACAAGGATCCTCGTAACAGCATACGTTAAACGGAGTTCACGGTACGAATAATGAATATTATTATTGTCTCGTTAATAATTCTTTGTGATCTGCTCGTATTCGTCCTCTCTACCTCAGTCCCCTTACGCGCACTGTACGCTTTTACTTGTCCCTGTTGTCATTGTCGACGCCGAACTCGACCGATAATATACATGATAATTTCTCTCACGATGGTGGACCGAGAAAGAGAGAAGAGAATATACATACGTGAGAGAAGTGTTGCGCGCGCGTTTAACGTAGAGACGAATGAAACGAGGGAAAAGGCAGACGACGTGGTACGAAGGGAAGAATGTTAAATTTCGAGTAAACACAGATGTAAAGTTTCCCGCAATTTCTATGGCCTCGCATGTTATTTGATACCGGAATATTGGTGATTAGAATTTGTATTATTTAGTCTGGTTACACGTTCAGTCATATTTTATTGCAAGACGAACTGATAAGCCAACCGAGGTCATGCAACAAATCTAGTCTAGTAACAGCATCCTTATCCACTTCTGCCTTTTCGTGCTCGGAATTTTCATTTCTCTTGACTCTATAGTTTTCATAGCATTAAGTAACCGTTTTATATCTTTATTTTATTCGGTTATGGCATTTTTTTATATTGATACAGCATTCCATAACCTTTTCGGCTACTTGTCTGTCCTACTCTTGTTTTTGGCGGGATTTCTTGGCGCACGCGCAGTTGGACTGGACAGGTTTAAAGTGAATCATTTTAATAATTGAATGGTATCATTTGTGTTATTAATGAGCATTTTTTAAGAATTGCTCAAGAGACAGTCATAATGAATGTAAATCAATGATACAATTTTTTTTAATTTTAGCCGGCACAAAAAATAGGTTTCTGTTACAATATGTTAGGTCTATGAGAAGAACTTTTGTTGGTTCTTTAACTTGAACTTGAGTGGCACTTTACTTTGTCAAGATCAGCCCTCATCAATGGACGCGAGGTCAATCTTTATTCTTTATTTTAATCTTGCCATGGCATATGTCTTTAATATAATGACTGATCTTGAGATAATTTATACGGAGCGTATATATGCTTTATATATAAATAATAAACTGAGAGAGATAGAGGTTAAGAAAGAAAATTTACAGATGCTGGATCCAAACGTACTAACGGATGTGGAGGAGTTGACGTTATGCAGTTTCTGCAAGCAAAAGTACAACGATGCAGAGCAGTGTCCCAAGTATCTGAGCTGCAAGCACTACTTCTGTCTACGCTGCATTGAAAAGAATTTATTGAAGGGACGAGATCTCTTTTGCGCTCATTGTTGGAAGCGAACTGATCTTGGCGACCAAGGACCGGATGCTCTGCCGACGCATTCACCGCTGCTGGCCCTGGCCAGCAACTTCACGCACTTGAAGAACGTGAGCGCAAAGCACCCCGTCGACAAGGAACGGAAGGTATATAATAAATATACATGTACCTATGTTCCTGGTGGATCGATGGTCTTTTAGGGAACCTATAGCTTGTACGTACGTTCTTACGAGGATGCAGGGGCGTGGCGAGGGTAGGAGGTGCGCTTCACCCTGGGAAACGCAGTGCAAGCGCGAAGCCATAGCGACAAAGCTTTTTCTACTAATAGGATCGCCTCCTTAAGGTCAGCGAGATTGCAACGCTCTTGAATTGGAGGAAGATGAATTCTTTGCGTTCCTGGTGATCAAAGTGTACAATGATCATGGAGACGATAGTTGTCTGTACCAGATGAAGATTCAGGACTTTTACACGTGCACAAAAACCGTCCGTTAGATTCTTAATCTAACAGGTTGTTAGGTTGTTAGGGTAGAGGCGGATTTGCCTAAGGAAAATTCTATTGGATGATTTGCAGAGTGAAAATTGTCACACACATGGAATGCCCTTGGCCCTATGGTGTGGAACGTGCTGTACGACGCTCTGCCGAGCATGTGCTACACCTCAGGAACATCCGGCTCATCAGATCAAATCTCAGACAGATGCCAAAGATCAACTTATATCTGAAGTGAGTATTACTATTGTATACCGTTAAATTGTTAGCAGGAATTGTTTTGCAAAGGTAGAATCATTGATATACAAATAGGTCCAATTGGAGTTGGTAACAGTGGGGAAGCTGTCGGCAGAGATACAGAGGTTGGCGATGCAACAAAGGGAGTTCCTTATCAAGGTCTTGGAAGCCTGCGTTACCCTGAAGACCCACGTCGAGACAGACTTGCAGAATGGCTGGAGTCACTTTCCGGAAATAACGGAAGCGCGTGAGACTCTTGGCAAAGCCAAGGCTACACTTCATTTGATGGAGAGTCCGGATGACATGTGCAGCCTTCACTCCCAGCTCGTCCTTGAGAAGCAGCGACTTCAGAACAAGTATCAGGAGATGATGCTTCAGTGTCAACTCGATGACTTGATTGGAAACTCTGGAGTGGTTTTCGATTTTGCCCTCCTGAAGCAGGCGCTTGCCGGGATACATACTGGGGAGTCTATTGCATCTCAGACGATACCAGGAAATGCAACCAGGTTGCCGCATCATCTTGCCGCCTCTCATAACCCAATATTGTTCCTTGCCAACTATTGCATGTCCCAGCTGTACTCGAGGCACGTCGTGAGCAAGCAGCACATGCAAAATGGTTCCATTGAGTATCATTCTGGCACAGCAGCACCAGGAGGACCAGGAATGATGCCGCCACCGCCACCACCACCACCGCCAACCACAGCCACAGCCACTGCCTCGCCATCTGTTATACATCTTCATCAGGTGCAGCAGCAATCCGTACCACCGCCACCACCATTACCTCAGCAACAGCAACAGAGGCCGGTTGCGCCGTCTACGCCACAGCAGCATCAACACCTTCTGGTATCATGTGGTTCTCCATCCATGAAACCAATACCGCCACCACCACCGAACTCTAATTCTGAATCTTCATCCACAGCAGCAGCCGGGTTTCATCAACTGTGAGAACAATGCTTCTGGCAACAACGTCGTGGTATGTCCACCAGGAAGCGTTGTTCCAGCTGCCGTTGGTGGTAATGGCAATGGCGTTGTTGCTGGGAATCTCGCCGCGGTGCATCCACCAGCTATGCGAGGACCTTCCACGCCTTATCCACTGTACTACTTCAACATGGAGGTAAACGGCTCGCCCCACGGTCGCATCGTCATCGAAGTGAGGCCGGACGTTGCGCCGAAGATGGCGAAAAACTTCAGTGTTCTGGCGACGGGCGAGATCGGTGTTGGATACAAGGGCTGTACGATATTCCAGTGCTGGGAAGGTGAGTCAGTAATAACAGGCGACTTCGAGCTGAACAATGGTCGGGGTGGCAGAAGCATATACGAGGATGGATACTTCATGCCGGACGATACGAAATTCCCGGCTGTTCGAGGCGCAGTGGGAATGCGACGAACCCAGAAGCGCCACGACAACCTCGGCATGGTTGGATCCCAGTTTCGTATAATACTCCAGGAGATGCGCGGATTCACAGGGATCTTTGGTCATGTCGTCGAGGGCTTGGACTTGGTCGAGAAGATAGCGACCTTTGGCGACCAAGCCGGTAAACCTACCAAGACCATCCTTATCACGAAATGCGGCAAGCTTTAGCCTCCTGGTCATGTAGTCCTACGCGCATCGTACTTCCACCGATTATCCTTATAATCTCATCCTTAAGATGTACTATTCTACGCCTTTTCCTGTTTGGCTACTACGCGATTACCACTTCCTGTGTCCGCTGCATATGCGTCTCTCTGTTCCCTGTTGTAGACGCGCGCGCACCAGGGTGGTTTGCACGTTACATATTATATAAAGAGAGCGCAGGACGAATATTCCTTTAACGTATTGACAAGGCGAGCGAGAGAGGGTTAAGGCTAATCAAGAGAGTAAAAGTGAGAGTGAAAATGAGAGTGTACGCGAAACGAGAGAGAGAAAGAGCGAGAGAGAGTATCGTCACGACGCGCACCACTTTCTAGAACGGTATAGGAGATACGTAGTACGTATCTCGTGTATACATTCAGTACGCGTGGAGTCACAACTTAATTACCCGTTACTATTAATGATAGAATCTAAAGATGGTTGACTCTATTTTTAAAAATCGAACGCATTTAAATAAGAAATCGATATTTTCCTATTGCCCGGGAATCGATAATGTTATATTGACAAGAATCGTAGTTAGCGTACCATTTCCGTCTGTAGCAGACGCCCAGCGTCTGTCGATAGCGCCGTAATAATTCATCTCATAAAAACCGACGCAGATTCCGTCAATAACCGCCAATCGGCATAACCCAAGGATATCGTTAAGAAAATCAGTCGATCCCCTCCATTTCTTCTTTTTCTGTTCTCCGCAATAGCCTTGTTTCAAAATGAATACGATAGTATAGTATATTTTGTTTACGAACACGAGCGTCGATAGCAAGCAGTTAGCAAAAAGAAAGGAAAAAAAAAGAAACAAAAATACGATAACGCGATTAAAAAGATAATAAATTACACTTAAACGAATACAGACAAAACAAAATCAGGTGTACAAGTTAAATATAAAGAAATGAGGGACGTATATATTGTCAATGGCGGTAGAAATCGACTGGTGCGTCCTTTATAAATCCTATAATTTAAGTTAGATCACTGTGTGAGATGCGTCCATGGCCTAAAGCGATAACGGTAATGGGCGTCCCGACGACTTACAATAATGAAAACGAATGATTTTAAGACGAAAGAGACGAGAGTCGAATGAATTGACGTATATATCATTCCTTGATGCAGTAAAAGGATGCATCGATGCATAAACGATAATGTAATATCGTCGTAGCGTTACATATAAGTCATCCCGTAAATCCTAATCATTATATATCAAGAACATTATGGAAGCATGTCGATAGATACTAATTAGTGGATTTACGATGAATTTCAGTGAACGAGTCGACATTTAAGTTTTACCAGTTAGAAAACGAGAGTAACGAAAGATATAAATATAAGAGAGAAAAAGTCAGAATGACTGTGTACCGATTACTATAAATGACAGAGTCGCTGTTATGTTTGCACTGTGCAATAACGATTCCGATGCGAGCAGTGTACCTCTAGATGTATTACTCGACGAGAAATATATATTTTAAAAAGAGACAAGAATGATAGAGAGAGAGAGAGAAAGGGAGACGTTATAGAAGCTTGCGTTTGTGATCGTTATCCGACATGCTGCTCTACGTTTAATAAATAAATCGTCAAACTTAAAAATGAGTTATTAATGTTTTTTTCAAAAATATTAATACGTTATTCATCCGAGTAATCCCTTGAGTGTCTGTTAATCGTGACAAATTATTTAGAAAGATTTGCACGTGTGCACGCGTGCTTTTATATATTTTTGGCTATTGACTCACCTTGTAGTAAACGTCGGGGACGTATTGCTTGTCGCTGGATTCGATCACGTAACCGAGCTCGGGTGCATCCTTAGTTGGTACCAGGCAACCGTCTCGTACTAATGCCATGCACTGGTTAGATACCTGGTAGCCCTCCATGTGTACTTGATTTTTGTCGTCCCCTGTAAATGATACGCGTAGAGATATGTTTGAGGAATACAATAGTATTTATTGGGGGATGTAATTCTGACTTACCGGTCACACAGACGGTAACGAATTTTGAGCCGAAGATACCGCTGGGGGAAAAACGGCAGGGGTTTGGATGCTGATTTTGAAAGTGTCCGGCCATGATGCATTCTTGTGCGGATAGGAAATGACTATCTATATTCCTAACGTGTTTAACCTAATAAAAAGATTGTATTGATTTACGTTAACGAGAGCGTAGTGAAGTAATGAAGAAAAATATAGTCTATGCGTACAGTGCCCTTCTTGACGTCGTCGGCGATGAGGTCGGTGAATATCCAACCGACTCTCCGTATGTCCAGGGACCTCGCTAATTCATCTACCAGAGTTTCCTTGTCATCCTGTAATAGGACGACAGTATCCCTTGTACTTTCCTGAAAGATATTAGATTTTTTTAGTTGTTTTGTGTTTAACGATTGTTGTTCGCTGTGAAGAGTTTAATGGTCTACCTGGGGAGGCTCGTATATAGCAGAAACCACCGCTCTAATTCCAAGGGGTACGTCCGAGTGTATCTCATATCTACCATAGAGATAACCGATACGCTGGTGGCCAGTGCTACGCCAATAGTTTAAAAAACGTTCGACCAGACCGGCGTTCTCGAAGACGACGTTGTCGACGTGACGATATGGTTGTCTGTTCAAGGTGATCGCGTTCGGTTGACACTTGCTACAGATTCCACGTGGCCAAGGAGGATGATCTTTGCAGCCTGTCTTTATGCGGCAGCTTATGTCGTCTAATTGTAGGAACTTTCCTCTGCGACAAATACGTGATCCACCGTAGGTACCAAGCAGAGACTTAACAAGAAACCTCGTTCAGGAACTCACCTGTCCACTCCAGCAGTGAGTTTCCTGAGGTATGAATGAAACGAGAGGTGTTTGATAGTCTGATCCTTAAGGTAAGCCTCATCGAAAGGTTCCAGTGGGGAGCAATGGACACAGCATGCATTGGAGCCATGTCGACAGAATTTCTCATCACGTTTTCGTTGGATTTGGCCATCTAGTTTCCACAGTTGCTGATCTACATCGTCTTCGACAACGTTCGAGGATGAGCGAAAAGCTGATATGGGGAATTGTCCTTGAGATCCTTGGCTAGTGCTGGGTACAACTTCCATCGAAGTAGATTCTCCTTTAAATAATTTATTGAACACCGATAGAATAAATTATATATTGAGTTGCTTGTATACTCTATGTAATTACGTATTATGATCTCAATACCTGAGGAAGCATTGGAGGAGGCACCACTGGTAGAGGGTGCACCCCACTGCAGATTTCCATCGAGTGGTACAAGATATACCATATCACCATGAGATAATCCAACATCTGTAACTGTTCTAGCTCTAGAGGAAATAATCTCATCTTTACGATTTCTTTGTTTAAAAAGACCAAAGCTGAAGCTGCTGAGATCAAAGGCTTCGTAAACCTGAAACATTCATAACAAACTCTTGCATTATTTGTCCTTATATCACTTGATTATTAAATATTGAATTATTCCAACAACCATACTCACTACAAAAATAATTAAATAACATCCTTTAATACAAACCTTTTCATAGAGGCCAGAAACTGTATCAGAGGGAATGACGTCCAAGCGTTTTGTTCCCTCTGGCGACTGCACGCGTAGAGTCTGCAATGAATTAAAAAATGATGCAAATCTCATAAATAAATGATGCAAAGTACAATTGAATATATCCAAAGGAAATACAATTGTCCAAAAAAGTACGAGCAGCAGAAGAAGTGGTTGTTGTTAATCCAGAGTTTACAGTAGCTAGCACGTACGTTACAAGTTCAGCAACCATGGTTACTGGAGGGGTGACGCGTGAGTCGACAGAAACGCTAGTGCCGCTCGCTCTGAGATAAATCCATAACGAAATAAGAGAGAAAATCGTCTAAACGATCAAAAAAAAGTGTCTTTACATAAAGAATCATAAGGATAAATAATCACAGCTTCGATCTACTCACGATTTGTCTAGATCTTGACATTTCGCCGGTGTCCGTGGAACATCAGCTGTTTAATCGGCTGTCCACCCTGCCTGCTTCAATACGATAGCATGAAAATCCCTAGCGTCACGCAAGAAAATTGTTGAGTCAAGCCTCAGTCTCTAACCTGTGAGCAACGCCAAAACAGTAAGTAGTATATATTAACAGCCCGTTCCCGCGAGTATTTAATTAAAACGTCAAAATGATCATAGGCCAAACTTAATTAACGTTAATTTAAACACAATCTGTATCAGTGACAAACGCCTCTCACATCACCGAGGAAATATCGGCGAAGAGGTCCAGCCCCCGTGTATTCTGTGTCTGTCTCTCTGTCTGAAACAAACTATATAGCATTTGAACCCCTCCAGAACTTCTATGCAAGTTCTAGCATATTTCCCGTCATCTCCCGTGCCCACTGCGCTCACTAGTCATCAGACACAAAATTCCATAAGGCTGGTTCTCTTTACTAGTATCTTCTTTGGTTCTCACATTAACAATCCAATCCTTCCCTTCATAATTCCTCGTAATCTACCTTTTTGTAATCGCCACTTCCTCACTATTGCCTAACAATAAGTCAGAACTAGTCAGATCTGATGTAGCTTTCTTGACGTAGGTCGACGATCACTGTTCTGTATCTATATAATTAAACTTCCTGGCAAAACAGTTGCGGTTCCTCAGGCGTTACAAAAATTCAACACAAACCCTATTTTATTATCCTTGAACCAACAATGAAAACACCCTTATCCCAATCCCGCGTAATTTCGAAGATTGTAAGACTGATCGAAAATGAGTAATAGATGTTATTTATCTAAACTTTATGCACTTACTCTTTATGCGTATTCTACGTTTATATGCAATTCCGTGAAATTGCAGGGCTGCATAATCCTATGTAAACCGTCTGGAATTTTCAGTGGCGAGAGTTATTCGTGTCTATTCTTGGACAAGAAGTTAAATCGAACGATTAGGTAGGCTGTTGGATAAATTAAAGCCAAGATTATCGCGCAGACGCATATGAATGCAGGAAACTTGGCGAACGGGCAGGTAACGTCTGCTGGGTTCTTATTTCCCCGGAAATATGGTAGCACCAAGAAGGGTAGGATTGCCGCCGTAGCGCTGCCTTCGCACAATGACCCTCTTACCTCTTTACCGTTTCTTCCTGGCGAGAACGACGAACAGCGCCCGCGCGTCTACACGCCAGGTCGTCTCAGAATTTCGACGATCATTGCATTTGCTAGCCGTTAGCCAGCGACTGGTATCAACTGGCAGCAAATCTAGTCAGTCAAATCAGTTAGCACTTATCAGAATACTTAGTTCAACTACTTCAAGTCATCTGACCAATCAGATCTGCAGTGCAATTGCATTACGTACCCTTAGGCTTTTATTGATCAGTCATCGACTTTGATTTTATACTCGCATATATCTTGCGATTCATATGTCTCCTCTGTTGGAAGATATATAGTATTAAAGCGACTCGCTTCTTATACACACGACTCCACCTGTTGCTGATCGCAGTTGTATCCTCTTCGTCATCTTCTCGCGAATGACACAGCGACAAGGTACGTGATTTTGGCATCATTTACTGTGTTATGTAGTTTTGAGTTTGGTTAGGATTTCTGTCATTTTTTTATTCATGCTTCATTCACATTTTAATAGCGATTCTGGAGTGAGTGAGTGAGACTCTTCTACTTAAGAGATGAGTCCGTGTGACTGTTTAAAAATTAATCTTATTCTTACAATTTCATTCTTGCTGAATTGTATTTGAAGACTTAGGGATTTTTACGGGAACAGAAGTTCTCGTTTATGTATGAAAACAAGGCGGGCTTTTTAGGCGTCTTGTTGAAGCGATCGAATCGATCGTGGGATTATTGCGGTATGCGATTAGTTAGCGGGATTCGAAAATATTATTCAAAGATTCACTGAGCTACGAAGTTAATTGGCAGAGCTCCATCGCGAGATTAATTTTAGGAATCGGGCTGATTTGGTTAATCTTTGACTTGCTCGCGACATTTAATCGCCATCGTGAAAATTCTTGCTTGTAATACGCCATAGTAGTCATCAATAAAAATATGCAAAAGTTTTTGCTGGTTCTTTTTGATTAACGTAGTTTGTGGTACCACATGTCATCTGATAACGACAATTAAGATTACATAAATCATCAAATCGCCCCTTATGCTAATTATATAATATTAAAGATAAAAAAAATGAAAATAAAATACTAGATTAAAACTGTGTAAAAATTGAATGTAATTCTTTTTCTATTTTTCAAATAGGTTGACAGCAGCATGGAGGACGCCGACGAAATGTCTACAGCTGTAGAGCTTTACGTTTACGATCTGACAAAGGGCATGGGTTCAGCAATGCTACAAGTTCTTATAGGTGAGAAAGTTAAAAATTGTGATTTTAACCTGCGCAAAATTTCATGCTGGCCTATATATACTTATAATCGAGATGAAGGCAGAATCTGGAAGCAATGATGGGATAAAGCAGTTAACGAGCTGATAAACAGAGATAGATAGAGACAGAGAGAGAGAGAGAGAAGACAGAAGAAATCCGAATGCAGATAATTTTCACGAGTTATCCAAAACGTCGCGAATTTTGCTGATGGACGACGAGAAAAAC